TATATATATATATAAACACAAATGATACAAAATCTATCAATCTGAATGCTTGAAAGATGAAGAGGTCAGAGAAATGAACACTAGCATTTTTCCTTAGACAATCTTCTTTTCTTTGAAAATAGCAGAAGCAAACTACCAAGAAGTAGCAGGAAGGAAGTGAGGTGTAGGAGGTGAAGCAATGGACCTGGGTCAATACGAGTGATTGAATGTCTGAAGGGCTGTACAAAGATGAGTCGGACTCGATTAATCAAAGCCTGAAGTCCCAGAGGAGGAAGACCGTCAGGGCACAGGGCCTGGGGGCAAGATGATGGGATAGAACCGACCCGGGTAGAACTTCATTCCCTCCCTCATCCAAAAATGCCTTTTTTCCCGGAGAGTTCCATTTTTTAGTTGTTGCCATTTTTCAAATCTGCCGTATCAGGGAGCAAATCTAGAAGAAATTTTTCCTTTTTTTTCTTTTTGACCTACGGAGTCTTGAATCTCAAGAGCAAGATGATGTTTACCATCCGAAGAGTCTACCCCTTTCTGGCTCATCTGCTACGTGCATCTGTGCAAAGATTCCTCTGAATAGATAATATAGTAGGGAAAGGGCGAAATGGCTATATTTGATGGAAATCCTAGCCATATGCAGGATGTCGTTGGGCCCCTGTTTGATCAATCGGAATACGCATTCAGCTTTAAAGTTTGTATTTCAAGCACTATTTTGCATGCGCTCTCAACTGTACACACAGCATATTTATATGCTCTTCTTACTCTCAATCTGAAAATGTAAATTCCCCAGTCTTTATATTTCTATACCCTTTGATCACATATGACCCGTTTTTCCTTGTTTGAACTTTAAAAATGGACGCATTTCGAGCATTTATTTTAAAAGTATTTATACAATTGTAGTTTCTTACTGTCACAACATCTCTCCATGTCTACCAACTATCCAGTGGGATTACTGTTATCTGGATCAATGTTTACAATAATCCATAGCATTCGTAAACTCAAAAGCCTGTTGCATTTTTGGAATAAGTTGCTAAAAGCCGTTTTCCAAAGTTTGCATTGCAGATACTAAAGTTTTAACGGCAAAATCTAGACTTGGCTGAATGTCGATCAGCGAAAACATTTTCTCAATCTGGATTTTAAGAATGCTACTACTAAAACTAATATGAATACAGTTTTATAAAAAAGGAAAAGGTAGTATTTCTATCGTAAAATAGCTCTTAAATCTAAAATAGTTTAAATGTTTATAATATACAGTACTCAAACATAATGGACCACCATTAATAACTTTTATCTAATGAACGAATCTTCACGCTTTAGGACTCAATCATAATGGTTAGAGGTTGTGAAATATGCTAATTAATTAGTGCAGATGATATTTTCAGTTACGAAATCAGATACAAAAGCGAACTTTCTCTGAATAAACATACTTCTTTTCGTCGGATTCGGATTTCTGACACCCAAAATATAGGAATGCGGTCCAAATTTATGATCCCTTAATGTTAATTATACTTTTTGCGTATTTCATCATATCTCGAGAACTTTTTAAACGAATATAAAGATTTTGTACAAAATTATAAAATTCGTTTATCCCAAAATAATACCATACAAAAAACAGTTTTCAGTAAATATTTATTATTTCATTTAGTATAGTTGAAAAAAAAGTTTGAATTGTAAGGTATACAAATTTTTAAAGCATTTTAAGGAATACAATTTTACACGGCAAAATATGAAATTTGAGTAAAATCGGTCGAATAGTTAGTTTCTGAGAAATTGAATTTAAAAAAAGTAGTATTTTTTTCCCTCTGAACCATTATGTCCCTGAACGCAAATATCCAACCATTAGATCATTGTACATTCATTGATTTTCCAGTAAACACATACTCTGGGTATTATTGACAAAAAGTGTTAATTGCGTTTTATTATCATTCAAATTTTAAGTGATCAACACATTCTGTAAATCTTTTTAAAATAGAAATGTTCTTTTCTTTTACCTTCTGTTGGATCGAGTCTTTTTGTTCTTCTTCCGTGTTTAGAATTATTGTGTACAAACATAGGATCAGAAACAGCTAATAAAGGACCATCCACACTAACTTGTGTTGATATGACGACCTGAAAAAAAAGAAAAAAGACTGAAAAATCTCTTCTTTTTTTTTTACAAATTTGAGAAACGTTACCCAGCGTCGCTTATTCAAACTTAGTTTGCTAAATTTGAAATACATATTTTTTATTGGTTTTAGGTTTACAGGCACATTGCAAAATAACATTTTCAATCGAATACATAGCTTTAAAATATCAAATTTGTAAAATAGTTTATCTATAATGCAATGTTATAAATCCAGGAAAACAAAAGAACGTTCCTTCAACAGCAAAAAAAAAAAAAAAAAAAAAAAAAAAAAAAAGAAAGAAAGAAAGAAAAAAAAAATGAAGCAATAAAATCTGATATTTTACATAATTACACGAGCACGCAGTCCAAGTTAATACTCTAACTTTTCCTGTTTTTACTATAACTTTTTTTCGAAACTGGAATTTTTAGTTTAACATTTTGCTTTCGGTGGGTGCAATAAGTGGACCAGAATAGCTTCATCATGCTAACGGTCGTCAGCAAAAGGTGATAGGAAAACATTTAATTTTGAATGTAGTTTGATGAACGTTCTAGCTGATATCTCTCTGTTCTTACTCCTTAACAGTCTGACGGATTTAGACTAACACCGTTTCTTAAGTCAACTTCCAGGATCGAACCCATGACCTCCGGCTTATAACCAGAAATTTTAAACCAAAAATGTTTTTCGTTCCCCTAATTTTAATATCTTACATTATCTTGGTATCATTTATGGTGCAAGTCTTATTGTGTATGAATAAAATTTTAACAATATTTTAATTTTGCTTGCGGTGCACATTGTATAAGAGTACATTATAAAAATCATTACGACGTATGTTCTAACATTGCTTGAACTTAATATTTATAAAATTGGTAATTAACAAAAAGTAACAGCATTTTCTTTTATGAAATTTTCTGGTGAGAAAAAGTTAATTAAGTTTTTTTATTAACTATTGTGTATATGAATTTATTTATTCCTTGTAGTCTAAAGAGAGGATGCTTGAAGACAAGCAATGCTTTATCAATGATTTTTCGTCATAAATTTATATTTTTATTTTTAAGTTGAATACTAAATTTTAAATCGACATATTTGATTTACAGTCAAATAGTTAAATTAAGAGAAATGTTCCTTGTCTTACAACTCACGCAATAGCCGGGAGAAATATTCAAGAAAAGTATTTCTTTCAACAATAATTGAAATGCTTTTACGGTTTTCATTGTGTATACCGTAATACATCAGATACTTGTTCCCAAATTGTCACTTACACATTTAAATCGGTAAAATGCATTATGATTTATTTCTTTTGTATATTACTCTAAAATAAAAATACAAAAACTTAAATCTTTCCTTTTTTTTCCCTTACGTTATTGGCTCATTTGACTTCATTCTGTTAAGGAAAAAAAATCGATTTTGAATTTAACACTCATCTCTCGGCTTGAATGGGTGGAAGTGAATCTTCGAGAATGGTAAAAACAAGGGAAAAAAGAAGCAAAAAGAGAGAAAGTTATCGAGCGTAGGTAGGAGAATGTGTTAAGGACAAGGTATCGAATGGGGAAAAAAAAGTCTTCAAGGAGGGGGAGAAACAGCAGAAGGAGTAAGTATTAAAAAAAAAAAATCAGGGAAAAAAAATCATTGTAGGGTAAAAATAAAGGGGCCGTGGGCTCGACAAAAAGGCTAGGTGAAAGGGATAAAATGTGAAGAGGGAAAGAGAGAGAAAACAACAAAAATATCCTAAGAGAAAGAAGAGAAAAGATGCTTGCATCATATTAAGCGGGGGTGGTGATGCGGTGTGCTACAAAGTCGCAGTCTTTCAAAAACGCTGCAGGAAAAAGGTTTAAGATTTCAACGTAGTTAGGTAGCATGAGTTTTGAGGGCGCGCTTTAGCGGCCAAATCACTCACTTCCAATTTGTTTCCATTCCATTAGGCACGCACTCGACCTTGCCTTTCGAAAAAAGAATAAAAAATTCTTGAAGGTGGAGGTGGCAAATAAAAATAAAAAATTCTCAAGCAAAAATTCAAATAAGAAACAAGTTGGATAAATGCGTTACCTTACCCCGGGGGAATTGTACTTCAAAAGACTGGTTATGAATAATTTGCTTTCTATTGGGTCCACATTTTTATTCTATACCCTATTTTTTTTCTTCCGGAATTTTATTTTTTCTGTTTATGTTTTCGTTGAACTTTCTTGTCTCCGAAGTACGATATGAAGACGACAATGAGCGGTATTTGACTGAAACGAGTCCTTTTTTTAAAAAGATGCGCTTATATTTGCCGTCAAAGAAAAGCCTGCCTGGATATTTTTCAAAAATTGATGGTTGATTTAGATATTTGAATTTTAAATTTTTTCGAAGTCTTTTTAATTTAAAAAAAAATTATTTCACGAATGCTTAAGGAACTAATAAAATTTTTTATATAACAACGGATCATCAATTTGAATACAGATTAGAATATGTATGTCAAATAAGAGAATTATGATATAACTTATTTATGTTATGTAAATAAGTTATAACTTATTTTTGTTATGTAAACAAGTTATGTCGTAATGAGTGCTTTTAAGTCAAACACAACAGTCGTTGCATCGTATTACAAGGCAAAATTGAAAAGTAATTGAGGTGAACTTATTGTCTAAAATGTGAACTTATTTTTTTTATATGCATTTTTTTATGGAATATAAAAAATCCTGGATCAGTACCCTTCTCTTCTGTATTGGGTTCAAAATTACAAGACTGCGGAGTTGAACCTTGGTAGTCGTAAACTCTATATTAGGTCGGTTGCTCAACGACGGCTTTATACTTAAACGAACTAAGTTTAACAAAAGTCATAATTTAGATTAATGTTACAATATCATAGTATCATTACTGTAGAAATGTTACGAGAATAATGATACCGTAATAACGATATTTTAATTATGACTAATAATATATGACTAATAATTATGACTTATAGTATCTTTACTATAAAAATGGTACTATAATAATAATATCAATATTTCACAATTATAACAGTATCATTAGTATAGTAATAATAATATCTTGATTTTTGTTAGAAATTTTGGAGCGTACTGAATCATTACACCTTTCAAATTTGCTGCAACCATAATAATATGATGCCAAGTTGAGTCCTATTATCATACTTGTCAAATTCGATTAGTATACTGTAATATAATATTCAACTTGAGCTTAAACATGATCTGATTTAACCCCTCATTAAGGTCATAGTAAACTTATACAGCATTACGGTTTAAGGTACTGGTTCAACGGTCAAGTGAGTTTTCCATTATTGTAATATATAATTTCCATCAAAATCACAATTTTGGTTATTATCAAATAGAAATCCACAATTAATTTTTTCAAATTCTCCAAATGGAAAATAAAGTGTGCTCTCTGCTAAACATATTTCTGAAATAAATTATTCAATTACTAGAACAAAACAGTCCAAATCTTAGTTGCTGCTATAGTAAATTTCTTTCTCATTGTTAATATACATAGATACTCGGTAAAGAAGATACAATTGGGAATAAAAGGATATGACCGCTGGTGACTATTTACATATTGGGCAAATTAATTTGTCTGTGGTGAAATTATACTTGCGAAGAGTAAGGTTTTCAAAGAGATCTGTTTACCTGTCCTGAAGGCACTGTGTTTGCTCATTCATGTCTTTCAATTCCCCCCTTCGTTTTCAGTTTTACCCTTTACTTGTGTAGAGGGGCTTTTAATGCCCTCCAGGATTAACCCCTCTACTCTAGTGTTCCTGTTAGCCTCTGGTGTCTTATTTGCGCCAGCCAATTATTCTCTTACTCTAGAGCGCATGGGGAGAGCGAAATTTGTTAATGAATTAAACTAAATTGCATTTCCTCTTGCCCAGAGAGGAAGAGAGTTAAAGCAATAATAATATGATAGGCAATAATCATCCGGCCTCGCTTTCAAGCGTTATCAGAGGTATTAAAACCTGGAGGTTCTCACCCAGTACGAAACCTCCAGGTTTTTAAGGTTTGTTAGTTCCTCGTCTGCTGCAGGACATAATAAAGATACGGGGTTTTAGCTAGCGAAGAAACACCACCACTCATAAACTTCGAGAAGCAAAACCCATTCGAATCAACTCCCTCGCATTAACTGAGCTTTCTTTTTTTATCTTCTCAACCCTACCCTCAGTTTCGCAATTAATTGGCGGTTACAAATTACACGGTCATTCGTTACTCTCGCTTATACTCTCGCCAAGTTTTATTGGATATTCTTATAAAAATTCGTAAAGAAAAAGTGATGCGAATTTCCCCCTAGGCGTACAACCGTTTATGTGGTTTTATTATTCTACCCTTTTGTTTCTGCTTTTAAATTGGCGATATAGGTCAATGCGTTATTTCTATGAAGAGAAAATGTTTTAAAAGGTTAATTTAACTACATGTATTAAATTTAATTGATGCAGGATTTCTAATGATTATTTGTAATTGGTGTGGTAAAAATGAAATGAACCACTACATAATAAATGTAATGTTTACTTTCATAGCATGTTTTCCTAATTGTTATGGTTTCTAAAAAGGAAAAATGCTCTTACAAATTACAAATAAATGATACAACTAGTTTTGAGGGGTTTTAATTTACACTTAATTTACTTAAAGTATTTTTAAAGACTTGTTTTATAGTTAATTAAAGAAAGTCATTAACATAATACGCGAAACTCTTTTTCTTCTCTTTAAAATGAAAAGAATCTTCATGATTGCCTATTTTCACAATTTAAGCATGAATTATTCCGCATAACTAAATGTAAATTTTAAATAGTTTCAGTTTTTAAGAAGTTTTAAAGTGAACAAATTATTTTGTATAGACATTTTACTTGAACAAATGAAATAAATACGTTTAAAATAATTAAATGTTTATGCTACGTCTTCGATACTTTTAAGTTTCTTAAAAGAAAACATGTAGTCTAATTGAGCTCGTTAAAATAAATAAAAATTTGCGTGAATATAACTTACTGTAGCAATTAGATTTTCTCAACGTTTGAGCTCATAATTC